TATTATTATTATTATTATTATTATTATTATTATTATTATTATTATTATTATTAAAATGTCACAATAAAAATTTAGTAAAACTAAAACTTTAAATACTTTTAATAGCTTCAGGTTTAAAAGTGAAAGATCTAATGCAGTGTGATGACTCAGCAAAGCTTACATTGCATTAGCAAATACTGACTCTCACATATTTTGAAATAACATCCAGCACAAGCACAATATGCTACCAGTACACCACAGGAGCAAAGCAGCAGTATCAGGTACTGGTGTTTCTAAGAGTAGATTTAACACCACCAACCCTGAGCTTTCAAAGGCAACTACCCCTGAAAGTATCTCTATGTATGAAACAGCATGAAAACTATACAGACTGCTGTGACTTTACATCACACATCTGTGGAAACAAATAATGTATCTTCCATCACCACAGATAATATGATAAAGGCAGATTGTATTCATTTTAGAACACAAGAACCCTGATGGAGCTGAGCAAATATATATACTGTATTCCAGCATTCTTCCTCCAAGACAGCCTAACAAGAGGCTCTGGAGGAAAGACCACAAGCAGAACTGTAATGTAACATCATACTGGCTACCTTATTTCCCAGTAAGCATGGAATAGTGTCGTCCTTAGTACTGGAGAAAATATTCATACCCATCATGATTCTTTGATGCTTCCATACACAATCTATCTTCAAAGTAATCTCAAAAATCTGCGTGTTTGAAACCTCTCATACTCTCCTGGTTTCCATTCTGTACCATGCAATTAATTATACCAACACGCAGGCCAGAGCTGTGGGATCCGCTCCTTTGTGTCCTCTCCCAGACAAAGGCGTCGCTTCTCCGGAAGATCAATGCTCACCCGTCGGTACCTCCAGCCTCCTGCCAGGATGGCCGATCCGCTCCCCCTCCCCCTCCCCCAAGGCTTCACTCCTACGCGTGCCTGTTTGGGAGTTAAGCCCCTCTGCTCGTGACGAGCCTTGCTCACAAAGAAACGCGCCTAGCTAGGATCAGGGCCAAGAGGGTCCCGTCCTCTTTCTACCCAGCCGAAGGAACCGAGGGAGGGGAGTGGGTGTGGGGGAACGAGGCACGCGCTCCCGTTTCGCAGCCTCGTCACTCCGAGGCTGCTTTCCGGGCCTTCCTTCGAGGAGGCAACAGCTCTTCTCGCGTCAGCAGCCCGGCCGGCCGGCGACTACGCAGAGGATCCGCGGCTAGCGCCGACTCTTCGCGAGCCCGAGGCGGGCAGCAAGACAAAGGAGCCGCCTGGGGGAGGGAGGGAGGGGGGAAGAGAGAAAGCTGGCTCTCTCTCCCTCCCCTCCCCCGGCCCCCAACTTCCTACCCGTCCCGGCGCGCCGCACGACCAGCCACGCCCCTCCCCCTCCGTGTCTCTCGCTCACCTGCCGGATGGTGCTCGTCTNNGAACGCTGGGTAACCCCGACCCTCCCCCCCCTTCTCTCTTTTTCGGCCTCTCCGCAGCCGGTTGCTCAGGCGCCCACCCCGACACTCTAGAAGCTCTCCCACTCTCGGAGAGTTCAACGGAAACAGCCCGGCTCAGCTGTGGCGCCTGCTGATGACGTCAGGAATCGGGGAAGTTACTAGAAAAGGGGAACCGACGGCCGGCGAAGTAGAGACTTGGAAAGATACCCCCCCTTCTCTCTTTTTCGGCCTCTCCGCAGCCGGTTGCTCAGGCGCCCACCCCGACACTCTAGAAGCTCTCCCACTCTCGGAGAGTTCAACGGAAACAGCCCGGCTCAGCTGTGGCGCCTGCTGATGACGTCAGGAATCGGGGAAGTTACTAGAAAAGGGGAACCGACGGCCGGCGAAGTAGAGACTTGGAAAGATATGCGCATGTGCTGAAAGGGGAGGGGGCACAGAATTCTCTGGGCGCCTGCGCCCCAGAAGGCGACTTTTACTGCGCCGGTGCGGCTGTGCCGAAGGCTTCCTCGGAAGACGTTGTCACACTTCGACGTCGTAAGGAGTCTGCGCAGACTCTGTTGCCCGGGTGAAGAGTGGTGGCGTAGTTCTCGGGGTGTTATGTACGCTCCGTATTGAAGTTTGCGTTTTATTAAAGCTGATATGTACAGTATTTCTTCCATGTATGTTCCCAGCACTGCCGTGGAAGAGAGGAGCAGTGGCTGAATCCCGTTGTCTGAAATCGCAGCGCACATAAATATTAAAGAAAGCGCCAGTAAATTCAGGTGGCTCTTGCCTTTCAGTGCGCAGGTACAGGCGGGAGTTCAACGTGTTCAAAATCAGCCGGCATTGAAATAGAAGCCGCTCCCCCAGATACAACGTCTGTAGGACGGAGCCCTCTCGGCTGAATCACCTACCTGTGCCTATGGAGATCGTTACGACGGTTCTCCAACAACCTTATTTGTTAATTAATCATTTCAACTTCTATACACGCCACTAGCCCGAAGATTCATTGAGCGGTTCACAACAAATCAGTTATAATAATACAAAATTGCAATATGCTATTTTAAAAACTGGCACTAAAAATCAAACTTGCTTTTCTGCAGAATTAAATGACTTTAAAATAGTTTGGAGCATCTTCTGTCCATGGTTAAAAACACCAATAAAAAGCAACTTTGTATAGTTCTGTTTTTATTAGTGTCTTAAAAGCTAAGAGGGATGGCACCTGACACCTTTGTAGGATGCTTGTTCTAGAGGAAAAGGGCCAAGACTGAAACCACAGCCCCTAGAGTTAGCTAGCTCTTTTGGCTTCCTTCAGTGTCACAACTTTTATCAGTGGCTGTGAGAACTTTCTTGTGAGTATAATCAGTGAGGGTTGGGCTGGTGGCAACGTTACCTTATGGTGCTGGTTTTGGAAGACACAATAGCTCTCTAGACCAGTGGTTCCCCAGATGTTATCAGACTAAAACTCCCAGAAGCCTTCCACACTGTGTTGGCCAGGATTTCCGGAGGTTGTAGTCCAAAAACATCTGGTCCAAAGGTTAGGAATCACTGCTCTAGAGCTATTTTACCAGTCTTCCTTTGAGTTTAATGACTTCTGGTTTGTCTCAAAACCGTCAACTGCTTGAGTGATTGACAACACAATGCACACATGATTCACATGGAATACTATAGTAAGTGAAATCCTTGCCTGTTTGGGAGAGGCAGCTTCATCTCTTCATGTCATCTTTCCTATTTAGTAAGACTTTATGTACACATTTATCACTTGTGTTTACAGTAGTTCTGGGGACTTGTGCTCTTCCAGCTTTACAGCACCAAGCATGTATCCATGTTGTCACTGTCTTTGGCCATAGCATTTAATTAGGTTTAACAGGAGATGGGCATTTCAATCCCATCTATAGTGATGCCAGAAATAATTCGTTCCGCGAGTAGCGCTGTCTTGCAAAAATTTCGTCTTGCAAAAAACGGTTTCCTATAGAAATGCATTGCAATGCATTCCTATAGGAACCTCGCAAGAGAAAAATAATTCATTCATCTTGCGAGGCACCGGTCTTGCGAAAAACATTTGTCTTGCGAAGCACAGCCATAGAAGAAGCTGTCTCGTCTCGTGAGGCACAACAGCGATTGCAAAAACCATTCGTCTTGCAAGGCATCACTGTACTTCATTGCTGAACCCTCTGCCAGCAAACTGGTCTTTATGCCTGCCCTAGGGTTTACTAGAACTTCCATCATCCCCAGCTGCTGTTATACTGCAACACATCTGTAGTACAAGCTAAATTTCAAAAAGCGTATGTTTTTGCCTGCCTCATCGAGGGATTGTGTAAATTACAGGCCGAAATATCTTGGAAGACCAAGTGTTCCTACTTAAGCAATTGCATTTGCTGCCTGAATCATTTGTTCCGTCACCTACTTGGCAATATGTATGAGCAAGTAAGGAATGCAACAAATGATTCTTTTGTTCCCCTTAGTTAGATTCAACCAATAAGGAGCCTCTTGTGATTGTGGGTTGGTATATAGCTGGATTTTTTATTTATAACAATCAGAGTGGGAGTGAGGGATCTTTGTCCAAGTGTTTCAGTTTATGACTCCAATTATCTTGTGCTAGTGGACATGCTGGGTGGTGCTGACTGGAATTATAGATAACTGGAAATACGTAAGTTGCTCTTCACTGATTCCTTTGAGACTTTTTCCTGCAAGCTGAAAACAACTGCTAGGTATATTATATTTTCCTTATACTGTAACTATGCTTTTGTTACACAGTATCCACCTTGCCTCCAAGGCTACAGTGACTTAAGTCTGAATTGCAGTCATCCTGTTCAAATCAATTATGCAACCTTATCTGCAAATATGTTCCATTGCTCAAAATCATATTGGGGAACAATATGTGTACAAGGAATATTGCCTGGTGATTTTTTTCCCTTTTTGCTTTGCAGTCTCACACAAACAAGTGCCTGATCACTTCCCTGAACTGAAGGAGCACAACAGTGAGCCAGCTACATAGGTAGACATCCTTATGCAATTGCCTCTGTGTGCTGCAATTACAATTAACAATCAGGATCAGGGACATTTTACAAAAAATGCTAAGTCTAAAAGAGGGCTGTACTGACAGTAAAGGAGGACAATTCTTCTGATTTTTTTCTGTGTCAAAAATTGATACATTACACAGGAAGTTGGGGGCAGGAACATATGTTATTCTGAAAATGTCCCTAAATCAAAGTACTGTATCTAATCTACACCCAAGGCTGAAAGATGAAAAGAGGCTGTAAAAAAGTGAAATATGACATGAAACCAAGATGTAATCCATTCATTGAGCCTTAGCTGATGTTTGTTTTATGTTGCAGAGATCACACACATAGATCATAAAAATGACAAAAAGTTTTATTGACTGACGAAAAACTAGATGCAGCGTTAGCACAAACTAGGTTTTGAGTCACTGCCATATTAATTTCCAGCTTCTCTTCACACTAGAAGTGCAATAAATTGAATATTTAGATTGTTAGTCAATTAAACTTTACTTTCAACCCCCCTAAACTGCAGTACAAATATACATTTGTGTAAAACTCCTGAAAGTCAAAATTCTTTTTCTTTTACTCCATATCAGCTGCAAATGTAATCACCTGCACTGCTCAGACTCTGAATTTCTTTTCCCTTTTCTTCCACCCTGTAAAAGAAAATGACAGGAAAAGAAAATCACTGAAAAGGACATATGAAAATTTAAGTGTCAAAAGAAAAAAGCATGGTCCCATTAACACAGGCTCTGCGGAGAGCACTAGCAGCCCTTCCTTAAAGCTACTTCACAAAAAAAACACTTTGGGCATTCCTTTCCATAGGGCTATCATAGACAGCAGAGACCAACTGGGCTTTTGAAGGAAGAGATAGACAATGGGCAGTTTCTCTTTTTTACTATATTGTTGATTTTAATGGTTTTATAATAGGAGGTAATTTATGTGATTTTATGATTTTTAGCTACATTTGGTTTTATCTCATTTTATTTTTCAAAAAAGTTTGTAAACCATCTTGAGCACTATCTTTTAGTGGGAAAGTAGAACATAAATCTTTCGGTCACTGAAGCTCTCCTACAGGAACGGCATTACTTCCTCTCCTGCAAACTGTTCCTTTAAGGAAGAAAAGCAATATCCACTGGATCGATGGTCAGTGCTAGAGGGCGAATGAGGGAATCAATGGAACTCCAAGCATGTTAAGGAACAGATTTATGTCACCCTCAAATACTTGGATAGTATTCAACTATTGTCATCTGGAATGAGGAGAGGTGACATCTGCCAGTTCCCCTTCTACATCTGCTGTGGAAAGTTGGAGGTACCTCTAGAGCAGTGGTGACAAACCTTTTTTGGGCTCACGGTCCCAAAACAGCGGATGGCATGCCACCGCCGCTCCAGACCCAAAAGACCAGAACCGGAAGTGTAGTTTAAGGGGGAATCATGCTGATGGACCCAGAGGACCCGGAACAGGAAGTGGTGGTTTAAGGGGGAATCATGGCGACAGACCCGGAGGACCTGGAAGTGGCGGCGGAAGGGGAATCTTGGCTGCAGCCGCCTCATGAGGTTTTGCTGCGCAGGGGATGGGGTAGGGGAGTAGCGACCTATGGCTCGCGTGCCAGCTGTGGCATGTGTGCCATCGGTTCGCCATCCCTACTGTAGAGCAAGTACAATGGTGCCTCGCTTAGTGACGTTAATCTGTGCAGCAAAAATCGCTGCTAAGCAATTTCATTGCTAAGCGATTTTAAAAAGCCCATAGAAACGCATTGAAACCCCTTCAATGTGTTCCTATGGGCTCCAAAACTCACCTTAAGCGAAACTCCTCCATTGTGGCGACCATTTTCAGTGCCTCTAAAGCGAGGCAAAACAGCGGGTGGCCATTTTGGAACCGCCGATCAGCTGTGCGAAAATGGGGGCTTTGCAATGATCACGGGGAAGAGATCATCGCAAAGCGAATTTTCCCCATAGGGGCCATCACAAAGCGATCGCTTCTGCGATCGCAAAAACAGCGTCACAAAGCGATTTCTTCGCTATGCGGAGCAATCGCTATGCAAGGCACCACTGTATGCAGGTAGTGCGAGCAGCTGCAGGGGAGAACTACTGAAAACTTTCACCATCCCCATCCTGTGGCAGATGCCTTCCATTAGCAGCAGGATACTTCTCTGTTTTTCATTGCAATGCAGCATATAGGCAGACACAGAAGTAAGAAAGAATCTAGATTGTATGTCAAGGGATAGGAAAGCAACTTGTTATATCAGAAATTAAGGTTGCCTTGTGCAACTACTTCAGAATAACTTCACTGAACATAATGGCAAAAATCCTAATTTCAGCAGGAGCAATCTAATGGCCATTTTTGGTAATTAAAGGGTCCCATACCCATCCCAAGGCTCCCAAAATTTTCCTCTGGGCAAAAGGGAGATCCCGGGACCATGAGAATTTAAAACAAGGGGACAGGAAGCATTTATTTTAAAACACATGCTGTAAGCCGCCCAGAGACCTTTGGGTAGTGTGGGCGGCATATAAATTAAATAAATAACATAAATAAATAAATAAATAAATAAATGTTAGCACCACAGGGTGATGATATGATCAGCTTCCACCACACAAAATTATGTGAACAGGGTTTGGGCCAATGGGTCTTAACTTCCAAAACTGTGTTTAGCACTGTGCTCAGAGTCTTCTTTATAGAAATATACACTAACAGACAAATTTACAGAGTAGACATGAAACTTTCCTTTCATATAAATAAATAAATAAATAAATGTTAGCACCACAGGGTGATGATATGATCAGCTTCCACCACACAAAATTATGTGAACAGGGTTTGGGCCAATGGGTCTTAACTTCCAAAACTGTGTTTAGCACTGTGCTCAGAGTCTTCTTTATAGAAATATACACTAACAGACAAATTTACAGAGTAGACATGAAACTTTCCTTTCATGGTTCTCTCAACTTAGGATTCAAACCAATATTTTTTATCATTTGTCACAAGCAGAAGTAACTTACCTGATACTTTGTCAATTCTGCTTGCAGTAATTTCACTTTAGATCTTTCTTGTTCCAGTGCAGCATGAAGACTGGTAACCTAAAGAAAAAGAAATTCAACAATTGCCTTGCTCTTAAGCTTTTGGAATTTTAAAATGTGACATTTTAAAGAGAATAAGTTGTATGTCTAATTAAAACATTAATGGGAAATATGCCTGTATCATTCCGAATGTTAATGTTCTCTCAAGTCCCCTGCTGATCAGATAACAATTCATGAAAGTGGTTCTTCTAAAAGGATTCAACTGTTATTCATAGCCTGATTGGCTATGAAACAATAAAGTATTTGTATTTTAATTTCTAAAGAAACCATAGTTTGTCTTTATACACATATCTTGGATTCCAAGGAAGAACAAAAGACCCTAATGTTCATTTTTCTATAAGGGCAGGTCCCTGATTTTCACAGATTTTCCTCCTCCAGTTGCAGATTCCCACACTACATCCCTTACTGTCACTAGGGAGTCCCCGCGTCCTCAGGAGCAGCTTTCTGGATGACTGTGGCAGAAGACAGCAGTGAGAAGACCCTGTTCAATGACCCTGTTTTGCATTTCTTTCAACCCATTTGTTTTCTTTTATCAGACAAAGTATTTATAATACAATAATTACAGAAATCTTTACCTGTAAAGTCAGCTCATTCTTAATACTCTGGGATTCATCAACTTGAAGTAGTATTTCAGCTTTATCTTTCACTAAAATGTTAAGATAAAAGATTACACTCATGATTCTCAAATATTTTAAAATGGAGGTGGACAATGAGGTGTCAAGCCCCAGGCAGACTACAATCTGTGATTGATGGGCTGCATTCAGCTTGATCAATCACAAGTTGTATGGGCCTACCAACTAAATGCTGAACAAACCTATATGTATGACTTCTACTTCAACTCTATTGTTTTTATCTATATTATAATCTGCTTTGGGTCTCAGTTCTGAGAAAGGTGGCATATGAGTAAACAAAATTAATATTTTCCAAACTGTTTGTAGACAGATTCAATAAAACATGTACTTACTTTCACCTTCTTGTAGCATTTTCAACAGCTGTGCATTTCGTGCTTTTACTTCTTTATACTTTGCCTGGATATGTTTAAAAAAATCCAATTAATACAAATATTAACTGGGTAACACAATTCTATTCATTTTTATGCCACAGTAATTTCCATTATGCTATTAGGTGACTGGGTTCTATGCCACAGAGAAGTGATATGAGCGGTTTTCTTACCAACTCCCACCATACAACCTTGCAGGATCTTCCAACACAACCAACCTTATACTTCCTGTGCTAAGTCACATCAGAGGAAGCAACAGAGTCATCTAAATTGACACAGTACTTCTGCCCCTCCATGCTGTACTGGACTGTAGTAGAAGATTCTGTTGCTGCAATCCAGCACTGCCTGGAGGGGCAGAAGTGCTAAGTCATTTTAGATCAATGTGTTACTTTCTGCAACGTAACACAGTATATCACACTGGGTAGTAGAAAGCATGTTTTAAAAGAAAGAGCTATTGTTTAAAATTTTAAAAATATCCTTTGGTCATCTCAAAAGGGAAATCCAGGTACGGTATTCCCAACTATAATAAGTAATGCATAAAACTTGGAGGAGGAGGGAGCTTAAAACCAATGCTGCTGCATTTTTTTCAAAAATCAACATTTCTCTCATTATTGTCCCAAAAAGTGATTTGTTACAGTAACTTTAGTCCCCCCCCCAAAAAAAACCTTTGCTCCCCAGTCACAATGCAACAGGTGCAGTGTATAACCCAGTATAGAGAGTTCACTTCAGAGATATATTTTTATGAGAAAACAAAATACAGGATATAAATCTGTGGCCTAAAGGAAGACGTGGAACATTAGACACATAGGTGCATAAGAGAAATCTTTACATACTTCCCATTGAGTGATTATATTCTTTAAGTGCTGGATTTCTGCATCTTTCTTTTCAAGTTCCAGCTTGAGTCTCTCTATTCTTCCATCTTTTAGGAAAAAATCCTTGAGAAAAAAGATTTTGTAAATTAAAAATGATTCACACAAAGCTGATGAACTACAACCCATTAATTGTTAACTGATATGACTGTAAAAATTTACAAAGAGGCACTTGAAATTGCTGATGTAAACGCTTAGTGCTTCACAAAGAAAAAACAAACAAACCAGGATCCTTTACAGTCCCAGCTGACTGGTTTGTGCAAATGTAGGTGCTCAACGGAAACCGAGTCATTATTATGTTTTTCTAAAAAAAATTTAAAAACCTAATTCAGGAAAAACCATCATTATGGGTGATCATTAGTTAGTCCACGAAAGCCATACCCGGACTCTGAGACATTTGTTGTAAGGTGTGTCTTAAATTCAGTGTGGCCTCCAAAAGTGACTTGCTGTTAGAATCAGTGGGAAGGGACATGTAGACCTTTTGCCTATACTGCTTCAGATCAAACAAAAGAAGTTTACAGAACACTGCAAACAATATAGTTTTGTAAGTCACTTCTTTCTAATGAGTTTTTTTATTTAGAGGAATGCCCCTATTACTGTGCCTAAAAATATCTAATGTTAGTTCATGTAATTTCCTATCCCTGAAAATATGACACAAAAGAAAAATGGGTGAGAACAGAAGAACAAAAATTATGACACAATTCTTAAAGTGACATAGTTCCCTTGCAAGATAAGCAGACTAAAAATATATAGTAGCTTTTTCATAACTCATGATGGAGGTGGTTTCCTTGCTTCCTTCCCATCAACTATCTAGATTTAACTCTATTCAAAATACTCAGATACATATACAGTTAAGAACTTATCCTTATTCTACCTGTGTGTTGTCACGAGGTGTACTGTTATCCATCCCACTGTCTGTGACATGCTCTCTTCTTTTTTCTCGAGTAAGTATTTTATGCACATCATCCTCTAGTCTATTGAAGAATTCACCATCATGTAGGACAGTATGTGAGGAGCTCAATTCCTGTCAAGAAACTTTTCTTAGTATCTAGTAAAACAATTCAACGGCCAGTGTATACAATTCAGTGCTAAGTTGATCTGCTTTTCTTGTTTTCAAAATAAGACATCCCAGTCACATCAACACTTCTAAATATAAAATATGATTTCCAGTATCCCAATACAGTACTAACTTGTGAGTGACCAAAGGTAATGTACTCTACCCTGTGGTCACCACAGCGCCATGTAAATACCCTTGATTCAATTAACATTTGCACATTTTTCAAAGATAGCCAAATCCCTAACAGCCATTATGCCAACAAAGCTAGCTCAAGGTGAGGTAGTCCTAAGTAATTTCCACAATCACTGGGCTCCAAAGGATTTGGATTTACAGTCCTCAGTTAGTTAGGACTTCACCCTTAGTTCTTCCTCAGTGCTGTCATCACGCAATCAACTTATAACTGGTAGTGTAGTGCTATGTAACCATCATTATAAGCCCTGATTAGCTGTGATCACAGCTGTGAGTCATTAGCTAAATGGATGCAAAACGGGGGAAATTGTGGGTAACCAATAAAAAGCTGTAAACAGATAAATGACAAAAAACAAAGCAAAAAATAAAGACAAACCTAGTTTTTTGGTGGGAGGGAAACTAGTGGGATTTAGAGTCACCATTTTGGATTCCTCAAGAGCACACTTTCTCCCTGAAAATGTATATAACATGTTGATGTTGGCACAATAATTATACACACAGTGAGAAAATCCATAAAAACTCAACCACCACAAGCTGCGTTGTTCTTATTTTGACTCTTTACCACAAATCAGTGGCCCAACCCATTACCTATGCCCATTAGTCACTTGACTTGGTGCACCAACAAGAAAGACAAACACCAACTGGTAGCAATTTACCACTAAAATTTACAATGATTAACCTGTACCAGTGCAATTATACAGTTAGGTTTGGGTCAATTCTTTCTAATGACTAGTAGCTTCCTGTGTGTCCTACAATCTAAGTTTATGCTTGTCCACCTAAGCACCCAGGACAGAAACACAAGCACAAGCTCATATAACAACAGCAAAAAATCCAGCAGTTTTCACCATACTTGTCTCAAAATTGTATTTGCTCAATATTATTTATTTATCCAAATATTTATATGCCACATATCTTCTAAAGGATCAAAGACGTCTTACAGTATAAAAAAAGGTTAAAAGCTAAATAATATATTATTACATTAGTAAAAAAGCATTAAACGGATATATTAAAACACATAAATAAGAGCAAATAAAGCAACAGAATAAATAATTCCTTAAAAAAGCCCCATGATCAACCAGTCATTTACAGAAAGCCCACCTGAAAAGAAAGGTTTTTATCTGCTTGCAGAAGGACAGTAAAGTTGGGGCTAGGCTAGGTTCCTGTGGGAGTCTGAGTACAGGAGCAGTAACAAAGAAGGCTCTCTCTCATGTCCCCACCAAATGTGCCTGTGAGGTTGGTGTGTCCGAGAGGAAGGCCTCTTCTGATTATCTTAATACTCGGATAGGCTTATGCAGTAATAGGTGATACAATCTTTTAGATAGATTGGACACAAGCCATTTAGAGCTTGATAGCTTAAAACCAGCCAAACTGAAATTGATCTAGATATCCAGCTCGTTCAGGAACCCCTGGAGCTGAGAATAGCAAGTGAAGAAATGATTCCCCAATAAAAATAGGCAATTAGAAATTGAGGAACAATAACTGTGCCCTATAATCTAAAGAGTACAGGGACGTGGTGGCACTGCGGGTTAAACCACAGAAGCCTCTGTGCTGCAAGGTCAGAACACCAGCCATTGTAAGATTGAATCTACGCAACGGAGTGAGCTCCCGTCGCTTGTCCCAGCTTCTGCCAACCTAGCAATTCGAAAGCATGAAAATGGGAGTAGATAAATAGGTACCACTTCGGTGGGAAGGTCATGGCATTCCATGTCTAGTCACACTGGCCATGTGACCACGGAAATGGTCTTCAGACAAACGCTGGCTCTATGGCTTGGAGAAGGGGATGAGCACCGCCCCTAGAGTCCATGACTGGACTAAATGTCAAGGGGAACCTTTACCTTTACCTATAATCTAAAGAACCTAACTGATATAGCTCAGAAGGTTGGTATGTCTGGCTGAGGAATCATGAGCTGGGAGTCTACACCCCTAATGTGCCTCCTGGGAGAGGAGCCAGTGCAGGTTACGGCAGTGTATGGGTTTATATACCCTGCCACTTGTGCACCCTTGGGCAAACTGCACGGTCGCAGAATACCATCGGAAGGATGAAGTGTTATATCACTTCTGACTACTTTATACTCAGGAAGCAAAGATGTCAGAATTAGCTAGACAATACATAATTATTCATTATAACCTGAAGAATGTTTCATATTTTGTTTCTTGTTCAATAAAAGACTTACCTCCTGCTTTTTGGGAAGGTGATCTGAAACAACACAAATGAAGTTTCAAATTACATTGAATTGCCTAATTTGTGTAAAAAAAATATTAAAGTGATAATTTCAAAGGCCTCAGCATTACATATTTTGAAATGAAACAACACAATAACAAGCTGAATTACTTATTCTTGCTTTACAACTGGCTAGGTTTTTCTGATTTGCCAGATTTCAAAATTTAATAACAAAACATCAATTGACTTGACAAATCTAAAAAACCGCTACTACAGAAAATATGACTTCTTATAGTATGGTACAGAAATATGTAATGCAAAACAAATGAAACAGATTTAAATGTTTTCATTTTTGTTTCTGGACTTGATTTAGAACAGAAATTATTTAGTCGTTCCAAAGAATGGTTTCTACTAGGAGAAACTGTAGATGACATTCACATTCAGATTTCCCCCTCTGGCCCCTACTGCAATCTAAAGTAAGACCAAGTGAGCAATGGAATCGTTTCAGTTTGCCACACAGGAATCTGAATAGACTTCCAAGAGAGGAATGCTTCACCGCAAGTTATTGAAAGATTTGTTTAATCAGGTTTTTGTACTACAGTGGTGCCTCACAGGACGAGTGCCCTCTTTAACGACGAAATTGCATTACAATAAACTTTTAGCGATCAAAAAAGCGATCGCTTTACGATAGTTTCAATGGGGGAATTTCGCTTTGCGATGATCGGTTCCCTGCTTCGGGAACTGATTCTCACAAAACGACGATTTTTGGCCAGCTGATTGGCGGTTTCAAAATGGCTGCTGGGTAATTAAAATGGCTCCCCGCTCTTTTCTGGGACGGATTCCTCGCTGCACGGGCAGCAAAAATGGCCGCACTATAGAAGATGTTCACTGGACGGTGAGTTTCAAGCCCACAGGGACACATTAATCAGGTTTTAATGCATTTCTATGGGCTTTTTTATTTTGCATTACGACGTTTTCATTCTACAGCGATTTCGCTGGAACGAATTAACATCGTAATGCGAGGCACCACTGTATTCTGATGCTCTTTTAAATTGCTGTGATTTTGTACTACCTTTCATTTGTATTTGTACTACAAGTGGTACCTTGCAAGACGATTACCCCACATAACGACGAATCCGCATGACAAGGTTTTGCGACCGCCACTGCGCTTCGCAAAACAGTGTTTCTTATGGGGGAATTTTGCTGGACAACGTTTCAGTTTCGAAGACGATTCTAACAGCTGATCGGCAGCTCCGCAAAATGGCTCCCTAGGGTGTTTTCGGACCGATGCTTCTCAAGACAGCGATTTAAAAGGGCTTGCCTATGGGCGCCGAATCCGCATGACAAGGTTTTGCGACCGCCACTGCGCTTCGCAAAACAGTGTTTCTTATGGGGGAATTTTGCTGGACAACGTTTCAGTTTCGAAGACGATTCTAACAGCTGATCGGCAGCTCCGCAAAATGGCTCCCTAGGGTGTTTTCGGACCGATGCTTCTCAAGACAGCGATTTAAAACGGCTTGCCTACGGGCGCTTTTTGCTGGACGACAACTATTTCCCCCATTGGAACACATTAAACAGGTTTCAATGCATTCCAATGGGGAAACGCTTTTCACAAGACGATGATTTCGCTAAACAGCGATTTCAATGGAACGCATTATCATCGTCTTGCGTGGCACCACTGTACATTGATATTATAACAGTTTGACTAATCTGCATGGTTTCTGTCCTACCTGGACCATAAAAATCCAGAATGTGATAGTGGGAACTCCGCATACAGGTTTGTAAGAGGGACATCTCCCTGGTGAGGGCCACATGCCTTGTCTGCAAGCCCTTCAGTGGGCTATCAACAGACCCTTGTTGCACAGCAGCCCAAAGACAAGGACACCAAGTTGCAGTACATATGTGGTCTGCCCATCCTGGAGATTGCCCCAGTTCCTAAGAACAGTCCACCACTGTACAAAAAGGAGACAGACGTGACGGACAGAGGGGAGGACGGGCGGGAAGTGTGAATTCGAGATGACCACTTGAAGAGACAGTTACAGGCAAGTAACCTCTCTTTCTTCTTCATGGTCTCTGTGAATGCACACTATAGAGTGATTAGCAAGCTGGATTACCAGAGGAGGGACATCACAGAAGTACTGATGACAAAACAACTCTGCCAAAAACTGCGTCCATCCTGGCTCTGACATCAAGGTGGTGGTGAGTAGCAAATGTAGATGGAGTAGACCAGTGGCGGCAAACCTTTTTGGGCTTCTGTGCCTGAACCAAACCAAACCAAACCAAAACAAAAAAGCTCACCAGCGGGTGGCGTGCTGCAGCAGTGTGGCGGCGGAGGAACCAGAAGTGGTGGCAGAAGAGGGAATGGCAGGCATGGAGGTGCCTCAAGACATCACTTTGGATCCACTTCCAGCGCCAGCTGCTCCAGATCCGCCTGTCAAGGCACCAGCACGGCGGCTGCAGCCGTCTTCTCAGGTTTGGCTGCACAAGCGGTGGGAGAGTAACGATCCAGTGACTTATGGCTCGCATGCCCACAGAAAGGGCTCTGTGTGCCAGCTGGGGTACGCGTGCCATAGGTTCACCATTGCTGGAGTAGACCATGTTGCAGCTTTGCAAATATCTGGAATGCCAACCTTTTAAGAGGGCTGTGGAAGCAGCAACAGCTCTGCTAGAATGTGCTGTGAGAGAGGACGGTAAAGGCTTGTGACCAAGGTTTTAAGCAAGCCATATTATGATCATGATCCAGCGGGAAACAATTTATTATGAAATAGGGGATCCTCTATTGGGCCAATGGGGAGTGACAAAGAGTCTTTTGGATTTGTGAAAGGAAGAGGTCCTGGAGACACAGAATTCCAGAGCCCAACGAATGTCAAGGGGATGTAAAGAATGTTCTAGGTCATTAGATGGCAATGGAAAGAAGATAGGTAAAAATATAGGTTGTTTCATGTGAAAACTGGAAACAACTTTAGGCAAGAAGGAGACATGTATAGAGAGTAACCTGAGGATGAAACTGGAGGAAAGGTAGGTCGACACAGAGTGTGGTGAGCTCACTAGCCCAGTGGGCCAAGGTAATGACAATGAGAAAGTCGGTTTTGAGGGACAGTAGTCTCTCAGAAGTCATTGCCAAAGGCTCACAGGGAGGTTGAGTGAGACATTGTAGGACAGTGTGTAGTGATCATTGTGGAGGTAACGGTGGGCATGATGATTGGATGTTGGCGAGGTCTTTAAGGAATTGCTTGAGAGTGGGATAACGGAGCAATATGGCAGCATCGGAATCTTGGGGTTGATGTGCAATTACAGCAGCTATATAAACCTTGAGAATGGACAAAGAAATGTCACGATGAGGCTATGTGAAAAAAGAGAGAAAGAATGGAAAGTAATATTTAAAGAAATACAGTATCTGAAATAATTGGATTGAATATTCCAATGTCCCCAATAACAGCTTTATTGAATATGAATAAAGATCAACTGGCAAATGAAAATAAGGATTTAATAGTAATAATGATTACGGCAGCAAGGATAATTATGGCAAAGAATTGGAGAAATGAAAATCAATTTAACCTCGAGGAATGGTATAGAGAGAATTGTGGGACATGGCTATTAATGATAAACTGACATGTGACATGAAAATAAGTAGGGGCCAAACGAAAAATAATGATTTTAAGAAAATATGGAATGTATTTTTAGAACATGCATTTCGGAGAGGGAGGGGGTTTACACCGAGTGAAGAAACAATGAAATTTTGGAAGGAAAATGGATGGAATGAAATGTAATGCTAGTCCTGAGGGTGATGGGTGCACTGTTTTGTTTGTATTTTATAGATTTTCTTTTCTGTAGTAGTAGGTGTATTTTGTATATTTTTAAATTAAAATTAAATAAAAAAAAGAAATGTCATGATGGAAGAGATGAAACAAAAATGCTAATACTGCATTGTTTGCACAGTAGGAATGTTAGAGAAAATGGCTCATTTGTAAGTACAAAAACGGATGGTGGATGGCTTCCGAGCATGAGCAAGAATATGACCTACAGAAGATGGATTCGCCATGCTGTTAGGTGAAGTGTGTGGATATGGGGTGGAAGGTTCTCCCGTGATTCTGCATGAGGTGAGGAAAGAGAAGACAGAGGAAGTTGGTCGACATAGTCTGAGGGTGATGAACCATGGTTGTGTGGGCCATCAGGGGGCTATGAGGGTGGTATTTGACTGGTCTTGTCAGATCTTGACAAGGATTGGCAGAAAAAGAGGTTCCAGAAGAAAGAGATAAAAGAGGCTGGGGGACCAATTCATCATGAAGGCATCAGCTAGGGATCAGGGGCCGGTTCATGCTCTGGAACAGTAGCGAGTGCATTTGGTATTGTGTGAGGTGGCAAAGAAATCTGTGAGAGGGTGACCCCAAGTCTGCAGAGGTGGAGGAACACTGAGTCATCTGAAGTCCATTCATGTGTTTGAGTGCCGAGCCTGCTCAGTGTGTCTGCTAAATACTGTAGTTGTCTTGTGTAGAAATATGTATGGCTACTGGATAGATGTGGCATCCGTAGCACCATTTTCATAGTTGAATGGCGAGGTAAAGGATGAAGAAAGAGTGGGTGCCTCCTTGTTTGTTGATACAGAACAGAGCCATGGAGTTGTCTGTGGTGACTTGTATGCCTCATCCCATAACCAGGGACCCAAAAGCATGGAAAACCTTGATAATGGTGAGCAATTTGAGATGGCTGATGTGAAATTGTTGTTCTGCGTGTGAGCATGGGCATGTATCTGAAGGTTGTTGCAATATATACCCCACTTGCTGGGGCTGGCATCAATAGTGACTTGAATTGCAAGTTGGAGGGGACTGAAAGGCCTGCCAATGAAAAGGTCAGTTGGTGTATCCCACCAAGCAAGTTGGGTGGCGAGTTCTGGTGTGACTCTGAGGAGTTTGGTGGGTCGATCTGACAGAGGGTTGAAAAGAGCTGGTACCAAATCTGAAGTGACCTCATTTTTAGTCAAGCATGTTGTATGACAGAGGTCATGGAAGCCATCAATCCTAGGAAGCGCTGAGTTTGATGCACCATGACAGTAGTATGAGGTTGGAAGTGGCGCAGAAGCGTGTGTAGCTTTGTTGCTTGTTGTGGAGGGAAGACACGAATGTGTAATTAATCCAGGACAGCTCCTATGTAAGTCACCAGCTGAAAGGGTTGTAGGATAGATTTGTCCATGTTGACTTTGAGTCCCAGACCCGCCAAGAGGAACAGAGTGAGATCTATGTCATGTAAACTAAACCTTGGAACGGGAAGAAGCAACTAGCAACTAATCGTCGATCTATGGGAATATGGTGACTCCACATACATGGAGATGCACGGCTACAGGGACCATGCATTTTGTGAAGATTCGTGGAGCAGCAGAGAGGACAAATGGAAGGGCCTTGAACTTGTATGTGGAGTCTCCGAGGGAGAATCTGAGAAATTTGAGAAGATCTGGCCAAATTGTTATATGGAAATAGGCATCGCTCAGGTCTATGACTGCAAACCAGTTGCCCTTCTGAAGGAGGGGGAGTATGTGTTTTAGTGTGACCCTATGGAAGTGCTCTGGGACAATGTAGGAGTTGAGGCTGAGGATGGGCCGAAGACCGCCGTTTCTCTTGGGAACTGTGAAATAACAGGAATAGAGTCCCGGGTCGTCATCAAGTGGAATGACAGGAGCAATGCCATCTTTTTGTAGCAGGGATCGAACTTCTTCTTCTAGTACAGGTGATGGTCATTGTTTTCATTGGTCCTGAAGATGGTAAGAATTTCGATCACATAGCCAACAGTGATAATAGAGAATACCCAAGAGTTGGTGGTTATTGTGGCCCACACTGGGAGATGGGCTGCAAGGTGGGTGGAGTTCATAGACCGCAGTCTGTAATGAGGGCAGATCTGGTTGGTGAGGGAGTCAAAGACTTTGGGCTTTTTGTCAGGGCGCCTAAAGGATTGTCCGCGACATCAGATTCTGGTTAGAAGGGGACTCTCATGATGGTAAGAAGTCCGAGGCTTTGGTATTGGAGGTTAGGTGAGCTGATTGTGGAGACATTTGTAAATGCAGAGTAATGTCCATAAGGGGACGTTAAAAGTGTGGACCACGTCACCTTGTAGCAGAGGCAAAGGAACAGTGTTTGGTCTTACCAGTACTGTAGAACTTTGTAGATGGGCATTGTGTGGATGGGTGTGGTGTGGATCTCTTAGACTGACAAGAGCGTGTAGGCTTAAGTGGGGTTGGTGGTGGTCCTCTATAATTAGTAGTAACTTATAACAAAGATGATTGTACTTGAGAAAGTGTGATCAGTTTTGAGTATGAGTCTGGGTTGGTACCAAGGTATGAGGATGTGTTGGTACCATGGCTGACTGTAAGGCGTGTGGCTCAGTGGTATGAGATCATTTGAAGTAGAACTTAGTTGGCTTCAAAATTGGAGGGTGAGAAGTAGTCATCAGAAGATATTTTGTAAAGAGGCTCTCTCCTTGTAATCCTGATGAGTCAGAGGGGGTAGTAATAGGCATACCAATGGTGTTTAGACTCAGTATAAAACCTGGGATCAGGTTGCCAGTGTTGATAAGATCGGTCTTAGTATCGTAATAAGTTGGAGGCTCATAAAGAGTAACTTGCTTAAGGCAGCAGTATCAAGCTTGAGTATCATGCGATGCCATTAACTCAGTGTTGGGGGAGCTTGTATATGCTTGGTAATGGGTCAGCATGTCTCTGGTGTATGGTGCATTTTCCAAGTTCGTTTTCAAGGAGGTACTGGATCAGCTAAAGTGAAGGCTGAATTCGAGTCTGGAGTGGAGACGGAGCAACTTATAGACTTGGGACTCGAGTATAATGATTGTATTTCCCCATTCAGGTGATTGACTGAATATAGGGGGTGGCAGTTGGCCTCATGGTGGGAGATTGGATTCGTTCTCTGGAAGGAGAATCAAGGCAGACAGTTGCTTGGTCTGGTATGGACGGTGGAAGAGCAGCTTTGTCAGGTTCAGATAGAGAAGTATGCTTAGATTTATTGGTAGGTGAGTCCTGAGATGACCTTTTTCTTCTTTTTAGATAGCTTGAGTGGTTGGATGTCAAGGCCGGTTTCAAAGTCAATCTCGACTTCAATGTCAGTCCTGAAAGCTTGGACTTGGAGGTCAACTTAGATTTGACTTTGCCCAGTGCCAGCCTTGATGCAGGTGAGGTCAATGGCATCTCAGTTGATGGGGTTGGGCTGTGGGATGGAGGGATAGGTGCGGTGTCCATAGTGGATGGTTGAGGTTGTAGAGAGCGTTCCCAAAGGGAGGATCGGAGACGCTGTTGCCTAAGTTTAAGTGCCTGTTTCATAAGGTTTTTGCAGGCCTGACATGGAGAAAACTGGCGGGAGTCCCCAAGGAAGAAGAGGCATGACTTGTGTCCATCAGAGAGGGGAATCATGTTGAGGCAAGAGTCCCACCATTTGACAGGCCCTGTTGGGGCCATAAAATGGCAGGAAGGGGAAGGGGGGGGAAGGTCAGGGAACGAAGAGGGAAGATATGTCATTCTAACTCTCCTACTCTTTTTTCCCATAGTGAACTCGTGAAGAGATAAAGAAAAAAGGTAAACAGAGCTCTGCTTGTCAAGAGATGAAACCTCAGTGGTGGCAAAAAGTAACTGAAGCAATCCCCAGGATGGGCGGACCACGTGTACTAGAGGGGAGATCCTGGTGAATGCATGCTAAAGCTCTAGAATATTCCAGAAATCTCTGATCAAGCGCAGAATAACCCTATAGTGTGCATTCGCAGAGACCACAAAGAAGGTGAAGGTGCAGCTGGTGGAGAGGAGGGGCAATAACGAGGACAGAAGGGATGACTGGTTGCAGGCTCTGGAGAAACAGTTGCCTGTCTTCTGTGCCCTGGAGGAAGAGGAGGAGCTCTCTATCCTCTAGGACCTATGGAACAGGGCACAGGCCACCTTCACTTTGGGTTGGGACCTCACAAGCCAAGCATCCCACCCACCACTATAGGACTGGCCAAATGGCAGAGAGTTCGCCCTGCTAACCTGCAACAGGAGTACCCAACCGTGACAAAAAAGCAACACTGGAGGCATTGCCACCAACACCAGTGGCTGCTGCAAGCTGGCACAGCTTAAGAAGGAGGCACAGCTGCCATACTGATTTACCAATCCTTGGTGAGGAAAGCCCTGCCTGGGGCTGAGTTTGGGACTCAAACTCAGCCCCAGCACTGGACTACAAGTGACTTGGGGCTTGTAGCCATAACCAGAGCCCAGGCATATTGAAAGCCAGAAACAAGGGACAGGGGTTATCCTCTAGTCAGTGAAACACAATTTGTCACATCCGATCACCAGCCTGCTCTGCCAGCAGAGCCCATGGTGGAAGATATATAAAAGCTGCCACACTTCACAGAGAGGGCAGCTGAGATCATTGTTTCCAGATACATTTTCCTCTGCTTCTCCCAAGAAAAACTTGTTTCATGACCTGAAAAAGGGGACCAAGATATTTAAATCTTGTGACTTTTTTTAACAGATCACAGAAATATTTGGCACAAAAAGCATACCTATGTTACTATCCGACTGAAAATCTTTTAATGACACAGTGGGAGGCTTGTCTTTTCCCTGATGATATTTCCGTTTCTCCTTCTTGTGTACAGCCTTTGATGGAGGAGAAGCATTTTCAATGTTTTCATATTCCTGCAATAGAATAAAAACACATATGCCTACCTTCAATTTCGGAGGATAAGCAACTGGAAGATATATCTTTGTGAAAATAAATAC